TGCCTCTCGCGGTGACCCCCGCACCCCGTTCTTTGAGGGGTGTTCTCCCTCCCCCCTTCTTCCCTCTGTCGCCTCTGCTGCTGCTGTCGACCTCCTTGGTGCTGGGAAGGTCGGGACTGCGTCTGCTTCGGGCGGACGCCGCAGCGGCAAGGGCAAGGGGGGCAAGGGCGGTGGTGGTGACAGCGGGGGTGGCGGTGGTGGGGGAGGTGGTGGCGGGGGGAGTGGCGCGGGTGGGGGAGGTGGCAGCGGTGGTGGGGGTGGCGGCAGCGGCGGGGGAGGTGGCCGGGGCGGAGGAGGTGGTGGGGGTGGCGGTGGACGTGGCGGCGGCAGGGGTTGGGGTGGTCGAGGAGGTGGTGGCGGGAGTGGTGGGCGTGGCGGCACTGGCGGTGGCCAGGGACAGCAGCACACTCCCTCGCCCCAGGAGGTCCGTGAGTGGTACTCTCAGCACGGGGGGGGGGGGGGTGGCCTTAGCTGCACGTACGTCATTCGCACTGGTGACCGCACTGGCCAGCCGTGTGGGGGACGGCACGCCACACAGCGTTGCTTCGCTCGTCTGAGCGACGCTTGGCGTGCTCAGTTCCCTCGGGCCACTGAGCTGCCCCGCTGGCTTGATCTCCTGAATAAGGGGATTGATATCTATGCTCTAGATTTTGATGCTATTCTCTCTGCCATGTATGTGATGTCTACTAGTGGAGAGGGTTCTGAGTACCTGAGTGTCCCGCCCGACCCGGGCATTAGGACGAGTGCGTCTGCTGCTCCAGGTACCCACGTGTCTGCTACCCCAGGTGCTTGTGAGGCTGCTGCTCTAGGTGCGTGCGTGTCTGCCCCCCCTGGTACTGTGTCGACTCTGGGGGTGCTGAGCCTGGGGGTGCTGACTCTGGGGGTGCTGAGCCTGGGGGTGCGGACACTGGGGGTGCTGAGCCTGGGGGTGCTGTGCCTGGGGTTGCTGAGCCTGGGGGTGCGGTGACTGGGGGTGCTGAGCCTGGCGGTACTGCGCCAGGGGGTCCTACGCCTGGCTGAGACCTCTCCTCGGCGCAGTTGCGTGAGTGGTACTTACAGTACTGCAGCCTCCGGAGGGGTACCTCTGGGACCAGGCGCGCTACGGAGATTGGTGATGGCACTTCTCCTTCAAGTCGGGAGCTCCCCTCTCGTGAGCGGATCCGTGAGTGGTACGAGCGCCGTTGCACACTTCGTAGTGGCGCGCCTCGTCTCACGGACCCTGCTGCTGCTGGTGCTGCGGACCCGGGCGTTGGAGCTGCTGCTGGTGCTGCGGACCCGGGCGTTGGTGCTGCTGCTGGTGCCGAGGACCCGGGCGTTGGAGCTGCTGCTGCTACTGCGGACCCGGGCGTTGGAGCTGCTGCTGGTGCTGCGGACCCGGGCGTTGGAGCTGCTGCTGGTGCTGAGGACCCGGGCGTTGGAGCTGCTGCTGGTGCTTAAGACCCGGGCGTTGGGGCTGCTGCTGGTACTGCGGACCCGGGCGTTGGAGCTGCTGCTGGTGCTGAGGACCCGGGCGTTGGAGCTGCTGCTGGTGCTGAGGACCCGGGCGGTGGAGCTGCTGCTGGTACTGCGGACCTGGGCGTTGGTGCTGCTGCTGGTGCTGAGGACCCGGGCGTTGGAGCTGTGACTGGTGCTGAGGACCCTGGTGTTGGAGTCCCTGCTGGTGCTGCGGACTCGGGCGTTGGTACTGCTGCTGGGGGCACTGGTGCTGTCCCTGCTGTGTCTGGAGTCGCCGCGCGCCCTCAGCCGTACTTCGTTCCGCTCCTTCAGCAGGTTCTTGGTCTCTCGCCTCCTCGTGGTCCTCCCCCTCCTTTAGTGTGTCCACAGCCTGTTCAGTCACTGCCTGCTCCTTCTCCTTACTCTGGTCCTACTGACGGTCTTACTGAGCGTCGTGAGCCTGCGTCTCGCCCTGCGTCGCCTGTCCGTCCTGCTAGCACTAGTGCTCGTAGTTCGCGTCCATGTCCTCCTCCTGCCCCTGGCACGCACCGGATGTCTCTGCATCCTTCCACTGCTCCTCTGCGTGCCCCTTTGCCTTCTCCTCCTGCTTCCTCTCTTCCTGCTCTTGTCGACCCTACGTCGGACTCTCTTCGTGCTGCCAGTCCTACTATCACGCGTCTCCTTGCTACTGCCGTCACTGACCCTTCTTTCGAGTCTTCTCCTGCGTCTGCCCTAGTTGCTGAGCTCGTCGACTTTGCTGCTCGCTGTCGTCTAGACTACGCTGCTAGTCTTGTCGCTGAGTCTGAGTCTGTCTGTCCTCCGTCCGTCGGGGGTGCGTGTGCCCTTGGCACGGACGTCCTTGAGGACAGGCAGGAGGAGTTTCAGTGCTTGGCTGCCGCTTCACCTCATCTCGCGTCTGTACTGCTAGCCCCTGAGGGAGACCCGGATGCACTAGACATCCCGACTCCGCGCTCTTACGCGGAGGCGATAGAGGGTCCCTACTCCTCTCAGTGGCAGGCAGCTATGGATGCAGAGATGGCTTCCTGGAAGTCCACAGGCACCTACGTTGACGCTGTCCCCCCTCCTGGGGCGAACATCGTCAGTGGCATGTGGATCTTCAGGGTGAAGCGGCCGCCGGGTTCTCCGCCTGTCTTCAAGGCGCGTTACGTGGCTCGTGGCTTCAGTCAGCGGCAGGGAGTTGACTACTTTCAGACCTTCTCCCCCACCCCGAAGATGACCACTCTTCGGGTACTCCTGCACGTTGCTGCTCATCGGGACTACGAGCTTCACTCTCTCGACTTCAGCACTGCTTTCTTGCAGGGCAGCCTGCACGAGGAGATCTGGCTGCGTCGCCCACCTGGCTTCACTGGGTCTTTCCCTCCTGGTACCCAGTGGAGTCTCCGGCGTCCAGTCTACGGTCTCCGCCAGGCGCCACGTGAGTGGCACGACACACTGAGGACCACGCTGGCGGCACTTGGGTTTGCTCCTTCTACTGCCGACCCGTCGCTGTTTCTGCGCACCGACACTTCTTTGCCGCCGTTCTACATCCTCGTGTACGTCGACGACTCGGTCTTTGCCACTGCTGACACTGCTAGACTTGCCTACGTGAAGTCCGAGCTGCAGAAGAGACGCACGTGCACTGACCTGGGTGAACTGCGCAGCTACCTTGGCTTGCAGATCACCCGGGATAGAGCACGCCGCACCATTACCCTGACTCAGTCACACATGGTGCAGCAGGTCCTTCAGCGCTTCGGCTTCACGTACTCCTCGCCTCAGGCCACTCCTCTGTCTACTCGCCACTCGCTCTCAGCTCTGCCTTCGGATGAGTCCGTAGAGTCGAGTGGCCCGTACCCAGAGCTTGTTGGCTGTCTCATGTACCTGATGACCTGCACACGACCTGACCTTGCATACCCTCTTAGCATTCTTGCGCGCTATGTTGCTCCTGGGAGACACCGACCAGAGCACATGGCTGCAGCGAAGAGGGTGTTGCGCTACTTGTGCAGTACGTCGGGCATGGGACTAGTGCTTGGAGGGCAGAGTCCAGTGGTCCTCATTGGTCACGCGGACGCTTCTTGGGCTGACGACCAGGCTACGCAGCGGTCGTCACAGGGTTACACCTTCAGCCTTGGTTCCGGCTCTGTTTCGTGGCGGGCTACTCGCTCGTCTTCTGTTCTCGGCTCCAGTTGTGAGGCTGAGATCTACGCAGGGGCCATGGCTGCTTAGGAGCTTCGCTGGCTCACCTACCTGCTGACCGACCTTGGAGAGCCGCCTCGTTCTCCTCCAGTCCTGTACGTCGACAACAAGGCCATGCTGGCCTTGTGTCGAGAGCAGAGACTGGAGCACAGAACAAAGCACATTGCTCTCCGTTACTTCCTTGCTCGTGAGCTACAGCAGCGTGGTCAGTTGCGACTTGCGTACGTGGCCTCTGAGGCCAACACTGCTGATGTTTTCACCAAGGCACTTGCGCCTTGTGATCATCAGCGCTGTTGTACCCAGCTGGGTCTTGTGTCTGTCTTGCCTCACTTGCTCTCCTCTTGACCCTCTTTGTACTGTTACATATATATATCACTGCTCTTGCTTGTTTAGTCATATATATATATGTACTCCTGCATGTGAACTGGCCTTGTGGCCTTGAACTTGTGCTCGGATTGTGTGGTGACATTGTGATCCACCCTGAGCTTGCTTTGCTTTACTTAACTGGTCTTGTGACCCCTAGTTCTCCCCCACTTCGCCTATGGGGGTGTGTCAAACATTATATATATTGTTGTAGTTGTTTAGGCTACAGTGGGTTAGCCTATAGGGGGTACACACTTCTAGGTTTCCATATTTGTACTCATTTCATCCTTAGTCATTTCATTCCTTGTTCAACACTGCAGGCTGCAAAGAGAGTGTTGAAGTACTTGAAAGGTTGTGACCCATTCACCACGAAGTTCTTGGTGAGCATGGACTTCAAGTTCATGGAGAACCTGATGTACAAGGATTGAAAGGCAGAGACTGAGGCTAAGATAGGCTTGCGGTTTGGGGAGGTGAAGAGTTCCGGTTTGGAGCACGTGGAGCTGCCTTTGGAGCTGAGCAGCGGCAGCACCACCACAAGGCAATCTTCCCTTGTGAATAGGGGAGAGGAGGCCAAGGATACAGAGGAAGAAGAGGAGGAGGTGCAGCAAGTGAGCGAGCATGCACCTGCACTCCCACCTCGCACTACAAGTGCTCCACGGATTCGAGCAACGCCAAGGCCTTCAAGTCCCTACAGCTGAGGAGGAAGGAAGGGGTAAGAGGAGAGTACAACCCCTAATAGGCTGACATATGATGCACCGGGAAAGCCGGGCAAGACAGCCTTAGCTAGAGCAGCAATGATGGTTGGAGATGACGAGGAAAGTGACTACGAGGAGTGTGCCTTTGCATTATTCTCTCCGGTGGAGATGCCGGGAGAACCAGCAACTCTCAAGGAAGCCTTGGAGAGTAGTGATGCTGAGAAGTGGAAGAAGGCAATGGAGAGCGAGCTGAAAAACATTGAGGAGAATGATACTTGGGAATTGGTGGAGCTACCGGAGGGGTGTAAGACGATAATGTCCAAGTGGCTCTTTAAGATCAAGTCCGATGCCGACGGCAATATCGAGCGCTACAAGTCTAGGCTTGTGGCCAAGGGGTACCAGAAGAAGGAGAAGGTGGACTTCAAGGAGTTGTTTGCTCCTGTGGTGAAGCCGACAACGCTGCCAGCCCTACAAGCGGGTGCTGCCATCAAAAGATGGGTGGTGAAGCAGATGGATGTGACAACCGCATTCCTAAACGGCCTTCTCGAAGAAGAGATATTTTTGGCGCAGCCAGAGGGGTTTGGTGATGGTAGTGGCAGAGTGTTGAAGTTGAAGAAGGCCCTCTATGGGCTCAATCAAGCCCCTAGGCAGTGGTAGTTGAAGCTGCGAGAAGTTTTGGAGGAGATCGGCTTCACCCCCTCAACGGTCGATCACTTTTTGTTCATGCTTGGCGAGGGGGAGCAAAGGAGCTTCATGGTGGTCTATGTGGATGACATCCTCATCTTCTCACCCTCCTCTGACCTTGTGAAGGAGGTGATGCTGAAGCTTCAGGACAAGTTCAAGTACAAGGCCCTTGGAGACGTCAACTTCTACCTCGAGCTTCATATCGAGTGTGATGACGAGAAGGGGAGCAAGCGGGTGAAACAACGGAAGTACCTGGAGAACTTGGCTGCCAACTTTGGGTAGATTGAAGGCCATGTGGCTACTCCATTCCCTTCTGGGTTCAAGTGTGTGAAGGGACCAGAGGAGGAAAGCGTTGGTAAAGAGGAGAGGCGCCGATTTCACTCGTTGGTGGGCAGCCTCATGTACGCGGCAGTCAACACACGACCGGACGTTGCCTTTGCTACCGGGCAGCTGGCTAGAGTTGTGCAATGTCGCAATGAGGAGCAGGTAGCAGCTGGAATAAGGGTGGCCAAGTACCTTGGCCAAACACCGACCGTTGGGCTGCAATACTCGGCGGCGGCACAAAGGCGCCAAAAGGGCGCGGACGGCGTTGAATCCGGGCGTTTGTTCCTCACTACCTTCTCGGATGCTTCTTATGCATCAGAACCAAAGGACATGACAAATGTGGGAGGCTTCATTTGTTGTGTTGGTGGAAGCCCAACTACTTGGGAGAGCAAGAAGCAGGTGCACCAAGCATTGAGCTCGGTGGAGTCTGAGTACATGGCTCTCTTCCGGGCTGTACGGGAGATTGTGTGGCAGGGGCGTTTGTTGGCTGAATTGGGGGAGGAGCAGCAAGGACCTACTCCATTCTTCTGTGACAGTCAGGGTGCCATTGCACTTGCCAAGAAGCTTGTGTTGCACGGCCTCACCAAGCATATGACGGTGAAATGGCACTGGACGAGGAGCATGGTGGCCGCGGGTGAAGTTGAGCTGCGTTATGTGAAGACGACGGGGCAGCCAGCCGACATGAAGACCAAAAGGCTGGTGGAGCAATAGCATTGGAAGTGTTGCAAGCTGGCTAGGATGGCTTTGAACTGAGAGAGCAAGATCCTAAGGCTCACAATCCAAGGGGGAGTTTGTTGGTGCAACCTTACGGTTTGCACTGGCTTGTTGTCCGTGTGCGTGCATGCGTGTGAGCATGGAATGGTGTGAGGGCATGAAATAACATATATTTCATGCTTATAATCATGTGTGTATGATGAGTCATAATGCCGAGTGTGTGTGTCAGGTCAATAGTGAGTTATCGCTAGTCGCGTGTTACGCGGTCATTTTGTGTTACATGGTTTCGATTTTTATCGTGTGTCTCGTGCGCGGTTTCTGTTTTGTCATGTGTCTGAAGTTTGGTGTCTAGCAAGTGTGTGCAGCAGACCCTTTAAGAACTCAAGAATGAGTTTATGGTGAGGAACCAGAGCATTGGTTTCAAGATTTGAGTCATCTAGAAGCCCGAGAAAAGGGGTACACCTCAAGTTAGTGAGAGTAGTTACGTTACTTTTTGTAGTGTAACATTTCCTTTGGCGTAGGCCCTTGTGGAGGGTAGTTTTGAGACCCTTTGTGGTTGGCACTGTACCTCCGCTCTTGGGGTTTTGTTTCATTCCCAACTCGTAACTCTTCCTAATTTATGTTCTTAAGACTATAGTGGCTGCCATAGTGCCGTTCATTCAAACTGATATTGTGTCGTCAATACTTGATGAAATCATGCGATATATATTGCTTATACGACATTAAGATGCTCCAGATCCAATTTGAATCAAGTCATTTGGAGTTGTGACTAGAACGGTATGAACGTTTAAAGCCACTGTGCAGAAATCTGACTGTGCACTCTATCTTTCGATTTAGGCACATTGAAACCTACTATGCCTATAACAGTTCCAACCGTGAACACGACTCGGGAGGGTCGTCACCACGTCGGATTTGCAGCGTCTGGAGGCAACAAAGAACTCCACGAGCCGATGCCACTCAATCCGCAGCGCCCGCCCTACTTCGATCCTAACCAGCGCGATGGTTCTACGGTTCAGTCGTGGGTCTTCACGATGAAGGTCTTCTTTGACGTGAACTACGTCATCTCGGACGCAGTGAAGATCAGATACGCGGTTTTGCTGTTACGGGGCCCTGCTGGTGGCGAGTTATCGTAACTTCGCCATGCGCCTACGAGCCACCGTCGCAAGAGGAAGAGCCCACAGACCCAGCCGTTACCTGGCGTTCGTTCTGCGAAATAGCCCAGTTAGCACATGGGATGCATTGTGAGCGGTACTTCGGTCGCATTTCGAGCTGATTGCGGCTTCGATTTCAGCGCGTCAGAAACTACGCACTTGGCGGCAGCTTGGGCCGGTTCAAGACTACACTAGCGGCTTTCTCTCTCTGTGCGAACTGGTCGGCTACATGCTCGAGGCAGAGCGGGTGCACCGTTACGTCGGCGGGCTGAAGCTCGACATTTCGCACGAGATAATGCTTTGCGAGATATCGAATCTCAACGAGATTCTCGCGCTAGCGGAGAAAATCGACATTTTGCGCTGACCGAGACCAGGGTCCTACTATGGACATCGTCCTCGGGGACTGATCGAGCACACCACCGTATATGCCGTTGCAGCAAACGCAGCTACTGCGCCGTTCAAGGGGCGCTGCTTCGCTTGCAATATGCTGGGACATTGCAAGAGCGAATGCCCAGAGGAACTTATGCGCCGAAGAGTAGAGCAGGGGAGGGAATCTCAGAGGCGGGGGAACGCCAGCGGTCAGTAGAAATTGGGCCAACTACTGACAAGACAACCTGCTCGCCCAACCTCACTAACCCTTACCGACTCATAGTACCGATTCACGCTATCGATCGGGCTCGGATGAATAAGGAGGGTGCATGAACAGATTGCCCAATACTGATCCACAGAAAAATACAAGGAGCAACAATGAATATTTTTATAAACGAAGGAGCAAGTCACAGTTGAGTTAATGACGCGACCGCCCGGAAACTGCAATTGACGCTTAGCCGCTGCTTATCGGAGAAAGATGCACGCTTAGTCGACGGCACGCCTCTGGCCATCCGGGAGAAAATGGAGAGAGGAAAATTCCGCTGCGGGAGAAGCTTTGGGTCTACACAGGAAATGCTCGCGACGACACTGGATGGGCACGACATTTTTCAGGGACGTGATTGGCTGCGACGTTATAACCCGCAAATTGACTGGACGGCGGGTAGCTGCACGGTACGAAGTAGTGGTAACTGGGTCGAGCTACCTCGCTGGCAGTCGCCTGAGTCTTCAACGGCCCACGTCAACGCCATCACGATGAAACGGGATGTCGCCAATGGAGCTGACGTGTATGCTGTGGACATTGTAGTAGTGGGAGAAGCAGAGGCGCCGAGCTGATGAGAAACGAGAATGAGTGCATTGAGCAGAATGAGGAGTACAAGTAGTAAACCCTAAAGTGTTGTACCCCATATGAACTGCCCCACTACAGCCTACACAGACTATAGCATATATGCCTGACACACCCCCATAGGCAAAGTGGGGGAGAACAAGGGGTCACAAGACCAGTCAAGCAAAGCAAGGCAAGCTCAGGGTGGATCACAACGTCACCACACAGTCCGAGCACAAGAGCAGGGCCACAAGGCCAGTTCACATGCAACATCATATATATAAAGGTAAACAAGCAAGTGCAGGTATAGAAAGAGTACAGTACAAACAAGGTCAAGAAGTGAGCAAGTGAGGCCAAGTAGGCACAAGACCTAGCATAGCACAGAAGCGCTGATGATCACAAGGCGGAAAGGCCTTGGTAAAGATATCAGCAGTGTTGGCCTCAGAGGCCACGTAGGTGAGGCGGAGCTGACCACGCTGCTGCAGCTCACGAGCCAGGAAGTAGCAAAGAGCAATGTGCTTCGTTCTGTGCTCCGGTCTGTGCTCCCAACACAAGGCCAGCATGGCCTTGTTGTCTACGTACAGGACTGGAGGAGAACGAGGTGGCTCTCCTAGGTAAGTCTGTCAGAATATATTTGCTGTCTAGCCTGTAGTGGGGTACTCTGTAATGAGTACAACCCAATTTAGGGCATTGTACTTGTATCCCAACTCTTGCTAGTGAAACCCCTCCTCTTTCAAAAATCTCTCGATACTTTCCTAACTCACTCGAACTCGATCACCTAGGTACCTCAACTATGGCTCCTAAGCCTACCTCTACTTAAACATTCTAAGATGGTATTAGAGCTTAACGCTCCTGGCCTGTGGGCCCACTCGATTCCGCTGCCCTATTGTGTGGCGTGCGCCCCGTGGCGCGCGACCACCTATTTTTCTTCCCGCCACGCGCTCGGGGCGCGTGGCGGTTTTCTGCCCGCCGTGCGCCCCGAGGCGCGCAGCGGGTACCTACCTCGTCGCGGCGTCTTGGGGGCCCGCGCGCTGGCCCCGACCGTCGCCTCGTCGCGGCGTTTTGGGGGCCCGCACGCAGGTCCCTCCCGTCGCCTCGTCGCGGCACTTTCGGGGCCCGCGCGCCGGCCCCTCCCGTTACCTCATCGCGGCACCTTAGGGGCCTGCGCGCGGTCCCCTCTTGTTGCCCTTCGAGGCACATTCGGGGACCGGCGCGGCTCCCCAGCACGTCGCCCTTCAGGGCACAATGGGGGCCACGCCCTTCACCTCCACTACCTCCTACTTTCCGCTGCAACAGCCCCAGGAGCAGCCGCCCCAGCAGCAGCCCCAGCAGCTGCACCCCCTGGAGCGGCCGCCCCACCAGCAGCAACTCCCTCTGGAGCGGCCACCCCAGCAGCAGCAGCCCCTGGAGCCGCCCCAGCAGCAGCAGCCCAGGGAGCAGCCGCCCCAGCCGCCGCCCCTGGAGGAGCCACCGCAGCAGCAGCAGCCCCGGGAGCAGCAGCCCCTGGAGCAGCAGCAGCAGCGGCAGCCCTGGGAGCAGCCGCCCCAGCAGCAGCCCCTGGAGCCGCCCCATCAGCAGCAGCCCCGGGAGCAGCTGCCCCAGCAGCAGCAGCCCCGGGACCAGCCGCCCCAGCCGCAGCCACTGGAGCAGCCGCCCCAGCAGCAGCCGCCTCTGGGGCGGCCACCCAAGCTGCAGCAGCCCCTGGAGCAGCAGCAGCCGCCCCAGCAGCAGTCCCTGGAGGAGCCACCGCAGCAGCAGCAGCAGCTCCCGGAGCAGCCGCCCCAGCATCAGCCCTTGGAGCCGCCCCAGCAGCAGCCCCTGGAGCAGCAGCCCCAGCAGCAGCAGCCACTGGAGCAGCCGCACCAACAGCAGCCGCCCCTGGCCCCTGCAGCAGTCGCTCA